TGGGATAGGTGGGATATGCTTGGCTTTGACAAGGACCTCAATTGCTACTGGCACGGCTCTGAGGAGATAATTTTTGTCGACCCCTTCACGTAGCGCTTGTGGGATAGGTGGGATATGCTTGGCTTTGACAAGGACCTCAATTGGTATTGGCACGGCTCTGAACACACCGCGCATTCCTTGATGGATATAAAGGAGTGTTCGCAAGGAAGGAGATTGGAGACGAAGACACTGGATGTACTCGGACGAAGATTGGACCATGAGGCTGGTTCCAGTGCACCTACGGCGACACCTCCTCCCATGTATGGTATGATAAGTGATGATCGACAGACCGTAGAGCTGACTGCGGGAGGTKTTGGGTGTGGGCCCATGCAGGACACTGCGACTATAGCGACCCCTCGTAGGCGTTAATCGGCAGCCCACGAAGACGATTGTGGGAATTGTTGGGTGTGGGGCCACCCCTCGTAGGCGGAGGCAGCCCACGAAGACGATTGTGGGAATTGTTGGGTGTGGGGCCACCCCTCGTAGGTGGAGGCAGCCCACGAAGACGACTATGGCGACCCCTCCTCGTATGTGGAGGCATGCGTCTACGAAGGCGTGGAAGAGAGGGAGGACGATTCACAGATAGATGGAGGCATGCGTCATGTCGTGTTCATGACATGCATTGCGAGGGGTCCCTCTCACTGCCACTCACCCCCCACAGCGCAATGACGGCGGCTCGCCTGACAGACAAAGTTGTCCATGTGAGCGCCAGCAGCATTGAGACCATCCTGAGAGAGCGAGGGGTGGACATGGATGAGGGAGGGAGGGATAGGAGTTGAGATCGTGTAGCTGTGTGGGGTGGAGAGAGAGAAAGAGGAGTGTCGCACACTCGGGGGGTGGGGAGGGTGGGGGATGGTGAGAGGACGACGTTTGTGGGTCATGATAAGCTTAAGGGCTTGAGGACTTGATGCCAGAAACGACCGCACAAATGGGTTACAAGTCGAGATAAAGGATGCTGGGTGTTGTTTGGGAGAGAGAGATAGAGAGCGGGACAAAGAGGGAGTCGCTGGGAGCCCTTCTACTGTGATTTCTGCAGGTCTCTCTCCCTCCTCGGGGCAGGTGGCGTGTCGCATGGACAGGGTGATTCCTTAGGTTCGACAGCCTACTGGTGTGGCTCCTCAGATGGATAAGACGACCATTGACGCATGCCATCATCCACATCCACTGGCAGACGACGTACTGGCGCAGGTGGTGGTGTGCCACCATTGCCTTCTCTCTCATCAGGTGTGCATCTCCGTCTGCGGCCAGGGGACTGTTGACTTCCTGCCATCGTCTGCCATTATTGATAATGTCACGAAGACCAGGGGAGGAGGAAGGAAGAACCAGACYGTGGAAGCTCGCAAGGGATAGGGGAGTTGGATGAGAGAGAGTGACGGGGCGAGGCAGGCTGCGCAAGCATCCTCTTGGGAGTCSTAGTSGCTGGGGTAGAGGGAGAGYGRGTGTTGCYAGCATTGTGCATACACTGCTGAGCCAGGTGGGTGCTGTTGGMAGGGGTTCACTATTGCCCATCTCCATAGAGGGAGTCAGGACTCAATCCCATGCCATTGCGGAGAAGAGACTCGGTCGACACAATGATCACGGCCATAATAATGGCA